CCCGCCAGCCCGCGAGGCTTCATTAGGCCGCGCCTGTGCCCTGGCTGGCGGCGGCGTGGAGTCGGGGCATGGAGGCCACGCAGGGTCCCTGCGCTGAACCGCGGGGTGAGCCCACAAGGGGTCGGGCTGGGAGGCCTTAGGTCACTGTGCGTGTTAGGACCTAGAAGCCTGGGGAGGCCCGTGGGCTGGGTGGCCTCTCCTCTTTCGGGTTTTGATCCTCTAATGCATTGAGTTGAGGTCGGGGGGAGTTAAAACACTGGGCCTGGAGCCCCAGGACTGTTCTAGCCTAAGTTCTGACACCCGTCACCTTTTTTTTTTCCCCCCACTAGGACTGATCATTTCCATAAAGTATGTGTTTAATGAGCACCAGGTTTACTGGTATCCTGTATAGCAAATTGGTCCCTCACCACCTTGGCACTATCCATCTGCACCCCTTCTTGTGGATGGGAGGTTGTCCATTCCCTCTGCCAGCTCCAGCCTGGCTCCTGCACATTGGCTCTCTAGGAAATAATCTGATAACGCGTCTGATCCTGGACTGCTTTCTTGCTTATGCCTGCTTCGAAAGTCATTTCTTTAAGATGTGATATGGCGTAAGGCTTCTGTTCACATCACGAGGCCTCTTATCTCTACTTGGCATTAATTTATAAATTCCCCAGTTTTGTAGGAAATGATGACTGGGCCAAGGGGCTGTGGTTCTAAGTAAACCTGGAGGTAGAGGGCAGTGCTGGAGGCTCTGGGAAGCGTGCAGCGCAGAGCTTGCCCCTGGGCGAGTGAGCTAGAGGTGGTTATTCACTCTGCTAAATCTTCTCCTCAAGAGCTTCCTCGCAGGGATTAAGTGCCTGCATCCTGCACTGATCCGTAGAAGGTGCTAACGCAGCAGCACAGTGCCTGGAATGTGGGAAGCTGTTGATGAATCAGTGGTATCAAAGAGAGGCCAAGGCTTTAAGGATGAATGATAAGGGGTGTGGGGCCAGACTGGCCCTTGTTTCCTGTTAGGGGAGGAAATAGGTGAGGGAGGGACAGAGCAGCTGTGGGGTTAAGGAGAGGTGGCAGGGACAGCGTGAGGACTGGGAATGGGGAGCGTGGTCTTCTGTCACTTTCCTTTCCCTTCTTTTGCCTTCTCCACGGGTCAGGAAAGGGATCAGGCTGAAAGGAAGCAGCATTCCAGCCACCCTGTTTCTGTCTTCCCTGTCCACCCCATCCCAACAGTTGTCCCTTAGAAACAATCATGTGCCTGTCTCGCCTACCTGGCATCTGGGAAAACACGGGGAATGTGCACCTGAAATTCAGACTGCTGTCCTGACTAGGGCAAAGTACCCCTCCGAATAGAGTGTGTGTTACATTTTGCAAATCAGCCAGGTTATCTGGGATTTCATCAGCTGGGTTGGGATTTGATCTCCCAAACCAGGAGCTGGGAAGGGAAGTCTGGAATTATGGGCCCATTTGACAGGTGAGCAAAGGAAAGCTTAGAACCCAATGCCAGGGCACCTACAGGGCAGGAAGCAATGCTTCCTTCTCGCCAGCCTCTTTCCCCTGGCCCTGAGGTCTTGTGCTGCTCCCTGTAGGCCAGGAAGGTGGAGGCAGGACCCTGGCTGCACATCTGGAAGAGGAGAAACAGCAGCAGGGCTCAACCACTCACAATCAAGATGCCCAGAGAGAGAAGCCACTGCTGCCCTGCACCCTTTCTGGAGAGAAGTCACCGCCAGAGGCCTCCAGAGAGCTAGCTGAGGCACCTGCCTGTAGAGGGCGCCAGGCCCCCAGCTCCAGGGCTCTCCCCAAAGACCTAGCGCCAGCCCCACACAAACCCCAGCCTCAAGGGGAGGCCAAACCAGGGAAAAGGCCCTGTTCTCCAGCCTCTGGCAAGCAGAAGAGGCCCAGCACCCTGGGTCTGGCGTCTTCATCATCTCCCAGTATGGGTCACTCAGCCAGGGCCAAGCACAACCCAGTGCCTTGTGGGTCAGGCCGGGGCCCCTGCCACCTGGCCAACTTGCTCAGTACACTGGCCCAGAACAGCCAAAACACAGAACAGAAGAAGGGGCCCCCAGAAGTGACCTGCCAAGTCCGTAAAAAAACTCGAACCCTGTACCGCTCAGGTGAGTCTGTACAGGTGAGAGATTGGGTGTCCTCCAGGAAAGGGCTGGGAGTTGTAAAGGGAATGTGGTCCCAGGAGACCAGAGGGGTGTGGCTAGTTTGTTACTTTGTTCTGGAGCCCTCTCTTGGCCCCAAGGGTAAGGCTGCATTATCAGAAAGTGAGGTTAGGGCTGGGGATTTACCTCAGTGGTTCCACTGTCTGCCTTGCAAGCGCAAGGATCCGAGTTAGATCCCCGATATCAGAAACAAAAAAACAAAAAACAAAGAAAGTGAGGTTGGAGCCAGGATTGGTGGTGCATGCCTATAATCCTAGAGCTCTGCAGAAGGCAGGAAGATCACAAATTCAAGCCCATCCTGGGCATTCAGGACCCTGTTTCAAAATGAAAAGGCTAGGAATGGAACTCTTTGTTAAATCCCCAGTACCACAAAAAGAAATGAAAGGTTGGAATCAGGACAGAAGTCTGGAAAGTAACACACAGGCCTCGCCCACTGGGGAGCTTAGGTGCAAGGCTTTTGGACTGAAGATGGTGATCCTATCTGCTAGAGACATCTGGACCCTTGGTGGACATCTCATTCTCTTCTCTTGCCATGGAACTGGTCTGTAACCTCCTGCAAGTTTCTTCTTCCAGATCAGCTGGAGGAGCTAGAACGGGTTTTTCAAGAAGACCACTATCCCGACAGTGACAAGCGCCGAGAGATTGCCCAGATGGTGGGGGTCACCCCCCAGCGCATCATGGTAAAGGGGGCTGGCTAAGCAGTCAGCAGGGGTGGCCAGAAGCCAGCCCATTGGCACTCTTGAGGGGCATGGAGCATACTGCTTTGCCAACCACCTGGGAGCTGAGGCTAGGTCCTGAATGTGGGTGTATTCTCCCTACTTCCCCAGGGTTACACCAGCCTCAGGCAGCTAGAAGAGGAAGCCACCATACAGTCCTTTTTATAAAACCATGCTGGCAGAGAGGCATCTGAAAAAAGTGGGGAAGTGGCCTTCTCACCATGTAGCTAATTGCATGACAGCCAAGACTCAGGCCAGAGGCCTCGCTCAAGTTCAGATACCTTTTCCCCCTACAGGTGTGGTTCCAGAATCGCCGGGCAAAGTGGCGAAAAGTGGAGAAACTGAATGGGAAAGAAAAGCAGGACAATGCTGCAACCCCTGCTAGCAGTCAGGGAAGGTAAGAGTTTGTCCTCTTCCTGCACCCCTCCCCGACAGTCCCAGAGGGGACCCTCCGGTCCTGAAGAAGAAAGAGGTGAGACTGGGCATAAGTCCTGGGTACTGGCTGGTATATAGATGGCTTGACTGGGATGGGGCTAGGAAGTTGTGGATGCCCTATAAAAGGCAGCGTTTGGGAGTCCTGTGTCCTTTCCCTACAAGAAGGCTATGGTCCATACCTAGATGCCACCAGACCTGAGATCTCTCTTCTCTCTGCTTCCAGCTCCACAACTGAGCCCCCACCTGCTGTGCCCATGGACCCAGAGCCTGGCACCTTGCCTCTGGAGCCCCCTCTGGATACCTTTCCAGGTGAGCTCCCACTTTCAGAGGGCTTGCTGGGAGGACTTGAAAACTACGAAGACAGTGACAACAGCGTCACTGCTTGGTAGAGTCAGGAATGCATGGAGCTTCTCAGGGGTTTGGCCTACAAGGGCCCATTCAGAGCATCCTGGGCATTGCATATGGCAGCCCCTCTGCATCCCAGGGCTAAATCCTGTCTTCTGAACCTTGAGGCGCCCCTCTTTCCCTTCTGTTCCTAGAGACCCCCATGCTGCTGACCTCAGACCAGACTTTGGCCCCTACTCAACAGACTGAAGGTGCTCAGAGGGTAGCAGTGACCCCACCGCTCTTCAGCCCCCCACCTCTGCAAAGGACCAACCTTCCTCTTCCCTTGGTCCCTGTCCATAACCCTCAACTGATGCCTCTGCTAATGGATGCTCCTGTCAGTCACCGCAGCTACAAGGATGGCCCCTATGGGCCCTGGAAGACAAGGTATGAGACTTGAGAAAGAAAGTGATCTGAGTCACCTTGAGAAGGGGTATTGTTGCATGTTGGGGTCACCACCAAGACAGGGTACGGAAGGTGGAATGAGGAGGCCACCTCTGAACTTCACTAAGTTCTCCCCTGTTTCACATAGCTTTACCCCACCACCTACCTTCTCGTATTTGGAAGACCTGGAGTCCCAGGATTACCAAGCAAGCCACTCATTCTCCCAGGCTCCACCAACCCAGCTGTTCCAAGCCCCTCAATCCCAGCTGCCGTTCCTGCCACCCTTGCCCTTCCCCATGCCCAGTTCACTGTCATTTCCGCCACCACCAGAAGATCCTCTCTTTTCGTTTCCTTGTGGCCCTGCTGGGGGCACGTCGCAGAGCTACTGCCCAGGCCCCCCATCAGGGCAGATCCTGCTGCAGCCTCCTGCTGGGAATATAGGTGAGTTGGGGGTGGAACAAAAAATCCCCTTTGGAATTGAGGAAAAGTGCAAGGAGGGAGAGAGCCTCACACTTTGGAGGGTAGACTGAGGAAAGGCAATGGGTGATGAGCAAATCCATTTCACTTGGTCTGCTTCCTGGGCCAGCTCATCCAGTTACAGCTCTCCTGAGTCTCACTGCTGGACTTGGAAATGGGTCTAAGAGTCCCGATATCATCGAAGGGAGTAGAAACATATGAGTGAGTCCTTGTCACAGCAACTGTTAGTATGATACTGGGCCACCTGGACTTCTGAAATCCCAGTGAATCCATCTCCTTGAGACTAAATTCTAGCAGGAAGGGATGGAAGACACATCCAGGTGGTTCCCAGCCTCTTAGCTGCTATGTAAGACTTTGCCTGACCCGTGGTCCAGTCTGGGTCTGAGATACCAAACTGAAAAACCTGTATTCCAGGACTTGCACTGGGATCTTCAGCTATGGTTCCATGGACAGGGACAGGAAGACTGTTTCAGAATACACTGAATGAAGTCTGATACTTTGTCCAGTCCAGTAACTCCTTGATCCTTTGACTCCACAGGCACAGTCCCTTGGAGTGACCCCTATTTGCCAGAACTGCCCTTCCCTGGTCCGTTCTGCACACAGGCTCCAGGGCACTCCCCAGCAGGAGATGGCTACTTTTCCGATCTATTTGCAACTCCCTGCACCCAGGCTACAAGCAGGCAATCTTCACCAGGATTTGCCCAGGTGCTGGAAGAGGCCAGATCAGGAGTTGGGCCCTTACCCAGCAAGGCACAAGAGGAGCAGACTGCCTCTTCCCTGGAGCAGCCCAGGGTGCTGGCAGAGGTCAGAGAGGAAAGTAAGAATAGCGAGGTCCCCTCATTGGGGGTCAAAGAGTGATGAGAGGGTCAGCGGTGGGACAGGATTGGGGGGCACCCATGCAGAGGGTGGTGATTGGAAGGCTGGGAATACAGTGGAGCGTTGACTGAGGTCAACTTCTGCCCAACTGTGGGCTTGTCTTACTAGACACTGGCTGGACAGGAATAGGGATGGCCCACCCTTTTTCCTGTACCCCAAAGCCTGGTCCTGAAGAAAGGAAAGCCCTTATTACCTCTGAATGTTATCAGTTTCTGTTTGCTTTTCTTGGTAGACACTGAGCTAGTGTGTCCATTGTGTGCAATAAACTGGTCTACCATTTGGCTTTTCTCTGTTTGTCTCCACCCTTGGCTAATGAAGAGCTGTTTCCTACTCCTAAGCTGGCCAGTTGCTAAATGTAACCCGGAAGTCTCCACTGGGTACCATGACACAGAGCCGACCACTGTCCCTAGGCTGACTCACCACTAAAGGAGGAACTGGGCACTGTGAGCTTTTCTTTCATCCCTACCGTGAAGCCGTGTTCTATTCACAAACCCCCAACTGGGCCTGAGTCTGGGCCTCTCTCTGAAATTTGGGTCCTGTATGGACAGCATGGCAAGAGGATCCTGGGGCCATATGAAGCCAAGTCTCCAGTAATCTTTTCCCAAAGCTCCCTTTTAAAGGGGAGAGGAAGATGTAAAGAGTGAAGGAGGAGGGTGACCCCAAGCCAGGATAGAAAGTACATAGTTTCCTTGCATGGGGTGATGCCTCAGTATCCCCACTCTGTTAGCACAGACTTCACTGGGCTCTGATGAAGAATCCAGGGTCTCTGCTGTCTTCCCTCATACCAGCTTGCTGAGGCCCCAAATGACACATTGCTAGGCAACTTGAGAAGTCTCCTAAAATAATCACTCTTCCTAGTTAATTCTTACCATGAACTGTAGTTGGCTGCATTGGTTCATTTAGGGTTACCTTGAGGTTGGGAGTTAATCTAGGCAGCTGTGGTAGAGGCTGAGGTGTGAGAAGAAGAGAGAATGAATGTAAACAAAGATGAGGAATGCTTCCTTGGAGTCTAAGGTAGTTGGGAATACATTTAGCACCTCACATCTATAGCAGTATCCAAATACAGTAGGTCTCCAACTTACAAACTTTTGAGTGGAGAACCTTCACACATGCAGATCTCAAATTACAAATTTTCTTAGATGGGAGCAAATAGCAGAAGTAGGTCAGGTGTGTGCTGGATCTTATCGTAGCTGGGCTGGCGTGCAGTATTTGTGTGCGTGTTTGGTTTTTTTTTATGTTTTATATTGTATATTTCTGACAAAGGTGTAGAAGACTCACTTTGATGGGCTTATGAACAAACTAACTCACGAACATTCTCCTGGAATGGAACTGGTTCATAAATCAAGGACCTACTGTAGTTAGAATTTGAGGACTGATTCAAATTATTTCCTTGTGCAATTAGTACACTATGTGTGGATATAGGGTATCGTTCTGACCTCCAAATAACTGTATGATTATTGGAAAATGCACTGTACATATAAAAAATTTAAACAACTATCCTATTTTGGATCAAAGCCTATAGTAGCAGAAAAGGGAAAATTTTGCAATTGGATTTAAAAAAAACCTCTTACACAAATTCATGTCCTTTTATCTGTGTTGCACATCCTTCCTATTGACAGGCTCTATCCACAGATTCCACTAACTGAATCAAAAATACTCAAAAACATTTTGTCATATACATTTTTCTTGCCACTTCCAAAATAACAAAGCATAACAACTGTTTAAATAGCATTTAACTATCTTAAACTTCTTAAGAAATCTAAACTACATATATGGTTGTGCATAATATATGCAAATATGCAAATACTAGGCCACTCTATATAAGAGACATGTGCATTCAAACTTTGGTACTCATAGGAGTCATAGAGTCAACTCACTGTGGATACCAAGGAATGACTCTAAATTTTACTAACCAACAGTGTTTAACTGTCTTGCTATTCTAACCACCATCTTATTTTGCCACTCAAGGATTATAGCCAGGCTTCAATATCCTTGTTTATTTGAGACAGGGTCTCACTATGTAGTTGAGACTGATCTGGAGCTCACTATGTAGTCCAGGCTGGTCTCGAACTCACAGTGATCCTCCTGCCTCAACCTCCAGAGTGCTGGGATTACAGGCATGCACCACCACGCCCAGTCTTCAATAGCCTTAATTTGGGGATTAGCCTGTATACAAAGAAATATAAAATGGTCAATAAGTACAGGAAAAAATGTTAAGTATCTTTCAACTACTAGAGAAATGCAAATCAAAACAGATTGAGTTCTATTCTTCTAGTAAGAATAGCTCTCATCATGGACTCAACAGAAGCTGGGGAGGCTGAAGGAAAAGGAACCTGTCTACATTGTTGGGAATATAAACTAGTACAGCCACTATGGAAATTGGTACGGAGATTCTCAAAAACCCAAAAGTAGAAATGAAATTTGATGTAGCTGTTCCTCTTCTGGGTATCATCCTGAAAGATTATCACATTACAGTGACACATGCATACCCATGTTTATAGCAGTATAATTTACAATAGCTAAAGTATGGAAGTGGCCAAATGTCCATTAATGTATTAATGGATAAAGAAAATGTGGGAGATACACACACACACACACACACACACACACACACACACACACACACACGAACACTACTTACCCAAAAAAATATGTGGGAGAGACACACACACACACACACACACACACACACACACACACACACACACAGGAATACTACTTAGCCATAAAGATGGACAGATTTAAGTCATTTCTAGGAAACCGGTAAGATCTTGTGACCATAATGCTAAGTGAAATAAATCTGACATAAAAGGTTAAATATTGCATGGTTTCTCTTTGACGAGAAACCCAAAATATAAATAATTTAAAGAGAAGAATGAAAGGGATACAGGGAGGTGATATTTGTGGAGATGAAAAGTGGAGAGAGGGTAAGGTGGGGTGGAGGGAGTAAAAATGATCAAGGTGTGACACATCTCCAAGGTAAATGTGAGTATTATTTACTGTAAATATATGAAAATACTAGAAAGCAAACACAGAATTGGCTGAGCACTAAAAATCATTGTTAGGCCTGACGAAGAGGTGGACAGAACCAAGCTGCCAACGTGTAGGAATCTCCTCCACCACCATCCGTGGCATACCACACGGTTTTGGGTTCCCCCTGCGATGGAGAGGGGCCTAACTTTCTTATGTAAGAATTAACATTTGGAGTTGAAATATACAAAGATTTATGTTGCTTGTTCAGTTTCATTTGGTTACTTGTAGCTCTTTTCAAATTTTTCAATGTTTCACAGTTCTTATATAACACCCATTTTTGCAACTTTGTTTTACCTGCCGATTTAATCTGTAGGTTTCATATATTTCATAATGAAATAATTGATATATTAGTAGATCATATAGGTAAGTGCCAGTTGTTTTGGCATCCCTACTTAAAATAGTCCATTAATGGTCTCTTTATTTAGAGAGTTAAACTAGCTACAACTCTGCCTTAAGCAAACATTTTCTGGAGAGAACTGCTATTTTATGACTCAATAATGTCAAAACAAATTTTCTATAGAGCAACTGGATAATTTAACATTCTTATAAACCTAGCCATGTTAAAAATGAGTTTAGTATGGGGAGGCATATACTCAGAAAACACCTACTTTCTTTTATCTAAATGTTTTTATTTATATTTATATTTATATTTATATTTATAAACCACCTTTCAGTAATCTCTTATAGAAACCTATGGGAGTATTTTATTAAATTTATTTTCCTTTAGTTTATAAAAATTATCTCACTGAAAAATAAGGCATTTTTCTCTTTTAAGTCTCAGAGACCCTCTTTCTGCATTCGGGAAACATTATTTGAAGTAGCTACACATCTCTTGTTTGATTTTTTTAAGAGCCTCTTATTTAGCCTGATACTTTTGACTTCTAGTATATTTTTCTTTCTTTGGATGGACAGTATGAAGTAAGAATTAAGAGGTTTTGCTTTAACTATATTATATGTACACTTATTCCCCTGTTTCTTTCTCAAGGTTGGTTTTATTACTATAATTGCTAGTTGTCTTTGTCCATTTTATACTGCTATGACAGAAGACCATGGACTGGGTCATTTAAAATAAGCAGAAATGTCTGTGGCTCACGGTTCTGCAGTGCTGGGAAGTCTGAGATCAAGGGGCGACAGGTACCTGGTGACATGCCAGAAGGCACCACACACCCATAGGACAGAGAGACAGAGCAGGAGAGAAATGAACTTGCATTTATAGCAAACCCACTAATATATTCACTAACATAGCAACACTAATACATTCACTTCTGAGAGGTCTAATCACTTCTTAAAGCCTCAAGCTCTCATGGTTGCCCTGGGGATTAATTTCCCAATGCATGGACTTTGGGGTATACATTCAAAGCCCATTACTGATGTTATTGTTGGTATTGGTCTCTACAACATTGTGTGGCATTTTTTTTTCTGGACTTCATACTCTGAGATCCTGTCCCTGGCATTATAATGTATGACTCTTTTAAAACTTTCATATCCTTTCAATGTGCTTGCCTGTGTGGTTAGCTGTATTGTTACTTCTTGAACAATATAGCTTCCTTAGTTACTTGTTACTAAGTTACTTGTTACCTAGCTACTAGCTATTTGTCAGTAATTATCTCTGTAGAATTTAATTTTTTATAGTTCCCCATCCCTCTGAGCCATCCTCATTTGGAAGGACCCTGCATTTTTTAGAGAGCCCCAGCTTAACATTTGGCTAAGCCTGAAGAACAAAGTTTCTGCATGCTGGAAAGCATGATCAAGCCACTCCTCCACTTAGACCTCTGGGTAGATGTATCTCAGTCTCACTCTGACTTTACTTCTTTCCTGCTGTCCCCTTCCAATACAGCAACCTTCGCTGATTAAGAGCAGAATGTTTACCTGGAAAACTTTAGGATGTGGTGGTGGTGTGTGTAGGGAGATCTATTCCCCTAATTTTTGATTTTACTACAAAATTTTCCCACTAGATGGCAATCTACCACCAGTTTCCTTGTGGCACTAAACATTTATAGCAAGAAAGCTCATGCAAATTCTTGTTCAATCCTTTCTCCACAATACCTCAGAGCACCTTCCCGTCAGGTAATAGCAGATTTAAATTTATTAAAAATCACTTGGGTTGTAGCTGGTATTCCAGGTAAAATATAGGATGTTCAATTAAA